CCCCAAAACCCCAAAACCCCAAAACCCCAAAACCCCGTAAGGTTTTATGCAAATTGAGATTCCGTTAATATTAAATAATCCAAAATGGACCTAAAGTCAGCAGACTGTAAATGTGGTAATAAAGAATGCAAGGAGGTAGAAAATATCCTTAAAAAAGAGAACGCTATCCTCCAGCAAAAGATTGGTCTTCTTGAGGACCAAATAAATGAAAAATAATAACGAAGATTACAATCTCAGAGAAACTTATGAGCGTTCATTATCTCTTCTGGCTCTGAAGGATACTCAGAGAGATGAAAAACAGATGAAGGAAAGGGTTATACATCTTGAACAAATTTCTGAAATCAAGATTGAGAATGAGAGAAAAATTGACCAAAAATAACGAAGAAATCGAAAAATTAAAACAAATCTTAAAAGAGCGTGAAAAAGTTATAGAAGAGCATAATATAGAAATTGATAAAATTAAGCTTCGTCACCGAGAAGCCGAAAATACTCTAAAGTCTAAACTAGATGACATTCAGTTCCAGACGATGGACCTTAGATGTTCACAAGATAAGGTTGCCTTACACTTACAATCTCAAAACAAAAGTTACGAGGAGACCATATTACTCCTAAAAGAGAAAGAACTAAAATTAAAATCCGAAATCGCTCAGCTCAAACAAATAATTAAAAAGATAAATACAAAGCATTCCTCGCCGAGGGTCTCTAAATCCCCAGTCAAAGAGAAGCCAGCCTCCAAAGAAGCCAAACTCGCCAAGGCAAGTAAGAAGACAGCTAAAATTAAATAAAAATAAAATCTTAGTAAAAAGCCCTCAGAAGGAATTATCGATATAAGAAATTTCTTTATCTGCAAAGAAGGCAATCACTGCAAAGCTTCTAGGAACTTGAAGCTCCCCAAAGGTAGCACAATCAGTCTTCAGAAGTTGATGCGCAACCAGAACCCCAGTGATCTGTTGCCTGAGTGAACTACTATTAGAGGTCAGTTACAGAAATTAGAACTTTCAGGAAAACATTCTAAGAGGATGTGTAAGCAGAGTAATAAGAACAGTAAGAAGAAAAAGACATCAGGCTGTAAAAGTCCCACACAAAAATCTCCCAAGAGAATGACTAAGGCTAAGAAAATTAATAGTAGTAAGGTGCTCCAGGAAAAGAAATCCTTTGAAACAAGGTCCATGAGCATGAACGATCATGAAGACATTGTCAAAAAGTTTGATAAGCTCAACTTAAATCTCGAGAAATTGAACCAGAAAGAGCACAAGTTCACCAACTTAATCAAAGAAGTCAAAGAATTGAAGGCTGAAAAGGAGAAGAATGAGTGACTATGTGAGAAATTAGCCAATGTTGAAAGACTCGAGTGAGCCTCATGTAAGTGGTTGGTCCAGAAAGACAACTTCGAAACCCACCTTTCTTTCTGAAGTAAAGAAAAGCATGAATCAAATGATTCCATGTCTGAAGAACTTGTCAATATCCATGATGAGACTGAGACTAGGATTAAAGACTCAATCTCAATCGAAGCCTTCAAGGATATTTGTAATATAGAAAATACTAAAAGGAATCGGCATCAGGATTATTCTGAGATGAAGACACCTCCTTTCCCGACAAGTTTGGAAGGCTGTAAACAACTTGAAAGGACCCCTCTGAGTTTTCAGAATAAAGAGAATTCTCGAAGTTTTAAAGAAAGGTACAAATCAACAGACTCATTTATCCAAAGACTAAGCTACTCCCAGTCTATCTCCAATTTCCCCAAAGAGGAAGAAGGTGAGGAGGAAATTGCAAATTATGACAGTTGCAAACTCAAGGTATCATCTCCGATGAGAACAAGTGATACCCAAGCAATGACCTACCGCTCTCATTTAGAGCAAGAGACATCTCATATCCTCGATAGGGTAAAGAAACTAAAGGAAGACCTAGATACTATGAGATCTCCCTTTCGGAATAGGAGAAGTCTTCAATTAGATTAGAATAAACGAATACTTTCAACAATTAAAAATATTAACGGGGTTTTGGGGTTTTGGGGTTTTGGGG